GAACAACTGCTTCTTGGTCTAGGTACAGATTTGTTGGGTCATTGGAGGACATATAAACATTTGAAGAAATAGTGGCCAAAAATTTATGAAACTCAATGAAAACTATAAACCCACAGATCCAGGAAGTTCAATGAACCCAAAGCATAAGGAACATAAAGAAAACTACATCAAAGGACACATAATCAAATTGCTCAAAGCCAGTGTTCAAGATAAAGTCTTAAAGCACTTAGAGAAAAAGTATATTAAATATAAAGGAACAAAAACAAGGAAGATGTTATATTTCTTGTCAGAAACAATGCATTTGAGAAAGTAGTGGATCAATATCTCTAAAATATTGAAAGGAAAAAAATACTGACTATAGAATTATATATCTAGCAAAAATATCTTTCAAAAACAAAGGCAAATTGAAGATTGTTTTCAGAAATACAAAAGCTGAAAGAATCCTTAACTACCCTATATGACATGTTAGAAGTTTTTCAGGCATATGGTAAAAATTTCAATCTATACAAAGAAATAAAGGCCCCTAGAAATGATAACAAAATGAATAAGCATGAGACTTTTTATTATTTAAAAAATTTTAAATGATAACTGACTCTTAAACATAAATAGGAACAACTTATTATGGGCTTATAGCATGTAAAATTAAAATGTGTACAATAATAGCAGGGGGGGAGGAACTGAAGTATACTATTATAAGATTCTTAGGTTGTTATTATTGAGTGCCATTGTATCGGTTCCAACTTACAGCAACCCTCTATACGCCTGTTTTGGTTTCTACTCCAACCTGTGTTAATTTATGTAGATTGTGTTTTTATAAAAATTTATGCATTTCTTCTAGATTTTCAAATTTGTTGGAGTACAATTCTTCACAATACTGTTACTATTCTTTTTATTTCCACTGGTTCTTTTGTGACGTCATCCATAGTTTCTTATTCATGGTATTTGTATCTCCTCCTTTTGTTAGATATGCCAGTAGTTTGCTTATGTTATTAATCCTTTCAAAGAAGCAACTTATTTTGTTGATTTTTTTTTCCTATTGTTTTTAAACTTTCCATTTAATTTCTTTCTACTCTGGTGGTGGTTATGTGTAACTGAGTTGTTTCTGACTCATAGCGACTCTGTATGGGTTTCCAAGACTATAAATCTTTACAGAGCAGGAGGCTAGTAGATTTGAATTGCTGACCTTACACTTAATTAATCCACTACACTACCAGGGCTTCTGTATCTCTGTTCTAACCTTTATTATTTCTTTTCTTCTGGTGTCACTAGGTTTACCTTGCTCTTTTTTTCTCATTGTTGGAGATAGTAGGTTGATGTGTTGGTTTTGGTTCTTTTCTTCTGTTTGGATGCGTGCATTTATTGCTATAAATTGCTGAGTACTGCTTTTGCTGTGTCCCAAAGGTTTTGGTAAGCTGTGTTTTCAATCTTGTTTGATTCAAGGAATTTTTTTCATTTTTTGTTTGCTCTATTGTTCTTGCTGTTGTTAAGTGTCATCGTCAGTTTCAACTCATAGTGAACCCTGTATAGAGTTTCTGAGGCGTCCTGCTGTGGCGCTGTGGATTAATGTGTCAGACTGCAAAGCCTTTTGAACTGCAAGGCCGGTGGTTCAAGCTCACCAGTTGCTCCTCGGAAACCCCATACAGGGTCTCTATGGGTCGGAATCGACTCAACAGCACTCAACAACAACATAGGGTTTCCAGGACTCCTGGTATGGAGCTGTAGAATTAGCACTGGACTTCGAACCACAAGGTCAGCTGTTCAAACCCACCAGCAGCACCTTGGAAACCCTATACAGGGTTGCTGAGTCAAAACCGACTCAATGGTACTTAACAACTAGGGTTCCTAAGGAGTGGCTGGTGACTCTGAACCACCAACTTTGTCGTTCAAACCAACCATGTGGTTGAGTATTTATCCTACATCACACCAGGACTACCCAATATCTTTTAAGCAAGGTGTTGCTCAATTTCCATGTATTTGATTTTTTTTCCTTCTTGATCTTATTTTTTATTTATAATTTTATAGCATTGTGATCTGAGAAGATGCTTTGTAGTAATTTTTTTCAACTTTTATTATGAATTGAGTGAAGGTTTACAGACAAGATAGTCAACTTTAAAGTCAAGAAATCATATACTTTGTTCTCTGAATGATTACAATCCCCTCCTTGCAACACTAACTATTCTACTTCCTCCCTGTGGTTCCTCATTTACATCTTAAATTTCTCAAATGAACAAAACAAAAATATTTGATGCACACATATGAAACAAAAAATACATATTAATTTAAATGTTCAAAGCCATTCTGCAAGCCAGCTTCCTGACCACAGGCACACAGCCTTACTCACTCCATGGGCCTAGAGCCCACAGCTGCTCTGTCTCTCCATGCCACCTGGGCGGCATTTGCCAGGGATAAAGCTCAGAAGGCAGGAAGGAATAGGAAAGAAGGATGACTAGAAATAGTAAACACAGGGAGGGAGTGGAAAGAATGCTGTTGTGTTGTGGGGATTCCTATCAATGTCACGAAAAAAAGGTGTATGAATTGTTGAATGGAAGAGCAATTTGCTCTGTAAACTTTCACCCAAATCACAATAAAAAGTTTAAAAAAAAAAAAAATTCTTGCAGAAGATTCGCTGAAAAAGTGACCTTCAAGCAAACATCTGAAGAATGTGGAGTTTATTGGTGGAGTTCTGGGGATATTTCAGGAAAAGAGGTCAGTGACAAGGCCTGGAGGCATGGCGTGCTGGGCGCGTTCCAATCACACTCTTCTGAGCTCTGCCCTGGCAATCACTTTAATTGGAAACCCCTCCTGCATGGTTATCCCCTTACTCTGCTTTTCTTTACAGAATGTATCACTTCTAAATATAGAATTTCGTTTGTTTGTTTCTTGCTTTCCGAGAGAGCAAGATCTTCGTTCCATCGAGCTTACCAGTTTGATTCAAAGGCCTCGGTGGTGGTGGTGTGCCTACTCACAGCGACCATGTATAGGGTTTTCGAGGTTGTAAATCTTTACGAGAGCAGATAAACCTCATCGTTCTCCCTCGAAACGGCTGGTAGTTTCGAACTGCTGACCTTCAGGTTAGCAACCCGACTCGTAACCAGTACGCTACCATAAGTCTAGTGCAGTGACTAATACACCAACCGGGACTGGACAAGCACATATGGACGGGAGTGGTTGTATTGCTAGGAGGTTGCGAGCCAGAAAAAAGACTAAAGGGAGGAGGAGGATGTATCAAGACTCGTAGGGACGTGAAAGACCAAGGCTAGCGCTCCGGAGTTAGGCGGGTACGCAAACAGGTAGCTGTTCTCAGCCATCTTCTTGATGCCCAAAATGTAGTTACGTCATCCCGCGTGCGCCGGAAGCAACGCAGATCAAAACTCGTGAATTAATTGGCTAACTCGGGGCGCTCAGAAGTGGAGTTGCACATGAGGATTGCTTCCGCTGGGCACTGAGCGGTGTTTGCAGGCGTGTACCGCTTTCTAGTCTCCCGTCTCTCGCGCTTCATCCAGGGTGCTCGTCCCGGAGGATCGGAATGTTCCCGGAGCTCAATAACCTTTTGAATACAACCCCTGAAAGGGCGGAGCAGGTAAGAAAAATGTCGCTTGGCTGAGAAGAGGCTGGGTGTAGGAGGGAGGCTGTATCCCTGGATGCGGCGCGTCCAATGTCGTAAAAAAGAGGAGACGCTTTGGGGCAAGAGGGTGTCTGGGAATTGTAGTCTGGAGAGGGTCGTCCCGTGGCTTGATCAGGAGCCTTTAATCTTGGGTAGGTGGGCTGCCTGACCTGTATACTCAAATACTGCGGGTTTTATAAGCCCCCAAGAAGCATGTCCACATGTCCGACATTGTTCCACAAACGTGTACCAACAAACTCTGCGCGCTTACTGGGCATGGAAAGGAATTGGAGGGTGAAATGGAGGCGAGCGTCTAGAGAAGGTTGTGGGGTACCTGCCCACCAGGACATCCTCTCTGTCCCACACCATGAACCAGTATCTTAATCAGTCGCCCGGAGTCTTACTCTCGCCCGGGAGCACAGCGGGTCACAGTGAACACGCCTCCTCTTCACCTATCTGGTAGTGCTTGCTGCGCCCAGCTGCTCACTGGGCTTGTAGAACACCACCACGAACACCACAGTTTTGCCACTCTGTTTACTCCATCCACCTTCCTGCATTCTTATACACCTTGTTTGTTTTCATATGCTTTCTGTTTTGTTTGTTCTGACTCTAAAGTGCGTGGCAAATTGTAGCTTCAAGTAGATCATGTAGATTTTAGTTGCCAAGCAATTCTCTATGCAAGGCTTCAGCTGGCTTGTATAACTTCCCATATGGACAACATTGTGAAGTATGAGTATTCCGGAACACTTCATTGTGCTCATGAGGAATCTACCTGGACCAAGAGGCAGTTGTTCGAACAGAACATGGGAACACTGAATGGTTTAAAATTAAGAAAGGTGTGCGACAGGGTTGTATTTTTTTACCATATTTATTCAACCTGTATGCTGAGCAAATAATCCAAGAAGCTGGGTTCTATGAAGAAAAATGTGGCATCAGGATTGGAGGAAGACTTATTAACAACCTACAATATGCAGATGATACAACCTTGCTTGTTGAAAGTGAAGAGGACTTAGAACATTTACTGATGAAGATCAAAGAACACAGCCTTCGGTATGGATTACATTTCATTGTAAAGAAAATGAAAATCCTCACCGGACCAATCAAGAACATTCTTATCAAAGGGGAAAAGATTGAAGTTGTCAAGGACTTCATTCTTCTTGTATCAACTATCAACACTCACGGAAGCAGCAGTCAAGAAATCAAACAACATATTGCATTAGGCAAATCTGCTGCATAAAACCTTTTTAAATTGTTGAAAAGCAAAGATGTCAACTTGAGGACTATGGAACACCTGACCCAAGCCATGGTATTTTCAATAACCTCATATGCATGCGAAAGCTGCGCAGTAAATAAGGAAGACTGTAGAAGAATTGATGCATTTGAGTTAAGTGTTGGAGGAGAATATTGAAAGCCATGGGCTACCAAAAGAACAAACAGATCCATGTTAGAAGTGCAGCTAGAGTGCTCCTTGGAGGCCAGGATGGCCAAACTTCATCTCTCATACTTAGGACATATTATCTCCAGTCGCTGGAGAAGGATATCATGTTTGGTAGGGTGGAGGGTCAGAGAAAGAGAGGAAGACCTCCAACGAGATAGATTGGCCAGGTGGTAGCATCAATGGACTCAAGCGTGGCAACAATAGTGAGGTTGGCCCAGGATCGGGCCGTGTTTCATTCTGCTGTGCATAGGGTCGCTATGAGTCAGTACCAACTCGATGTCACTTAACAACAACAACAATTTACTCCCGATACCTCCAATATTTTCAACTCAGAGCCAGAGTAAGGGATGGAGGATTGAAATAATCAAGAGGCTTGCACCAGTAAATGATAGAACTGGGATAACCCAAAGATCCAATGTTGTTAAGTACCTCTGAGTCGGTTCCAACCCATAACAATGCTGTATAGTGTTTTCGAGGAGCGGCTTGTGATATGAACCACCACCTTTTTGGTTCGAATCTACCTTGTGGTCCAGTGCATTATTCCACAGCACCACACCAGTACTCCCAAGATCTCATGGTGGTGGTGGTGACGTGCCATGGAGTCAATTCCGGTTCATAGTGACCCTGTATAGGGTTTCCCAGCCTGTAAATCTTTACAGGAGCAGAAAGCTCATCTTTCTTCCCGTGGGATGGCTGGTAGTTTCAAACTGCTGACCTTGATGTTAGCAGTCCAACTTTTAACTAGTAGGGTACCTGAGCTCCTTCCAAGATCTAAGAGTGTAGAGGAATTCATGGCAAGATAGCCGAGTATGAAGATGACCTGAGCAGAACCTCTGCAACAAAGACTTGGGAGATCCAGTGAAATTGATACAGATGGTGATCTTGTAACCCTAAACTTCAGAAGATAGGACAGAGAGGTAGATTGAGTGCCAAATGGAAGAGTTAAGCTGAACAGGTGAAGTGAGAAGAAACATAGCTGGGGCTCAGCTGTAATGGACAAACTCCACCATCTTGAGCCTTTGCAAGCAGCTGTTGTTAACAGTGGCCTGTGGGCTCACTATGAAGCTGGAGATTGGTGATAAAGAGGGTGCACTTCTCCCTTGTCCCAGGCCTCATGGTGCCTGGGGGTGTGTCCCTACTCTAGCCATCCCAGGGAGCTAGTGGCTCCCCTTTCTGTGCAGCCTCTGCTTTGCTTGGGGCCGTGCTCTGGGAGGCCACCCCTGCTTCTGGAGGCATCTGAACCTGCCCTGAACAACACAAACAGTGAACAGAAAACTGTGTTCACACGTCCAGGTTTTCACATCCACCAGGAGACAAGTGAGTACCTGAGAGTACAAAAAAATACAATCAGTTAAGTATAAATACAATGACACTACAATGTCTCATAGAAAGCCACAGTCCCAGCTTGCATGAAGAAGTAAGACAGAGTGCCTCAAACAAGTGACCAAAATATAGAGTCAGAAAATACAATATCAGAAATGCTATCTGAACTGCTTGATAAAGAATTTAAAAGAATGGTATTTAGGTACCTTCAAGAGATTGCGAGAAGGATAGAAGAAAGTAAAGAGAACAGAAAAAACTTTAAAGAATTTAGGAAAAGTCTGTCAAGAACAAACTGACAAAAGAAATAAAAAATTGGAAATGAAGCAAAAACAGCAATTAGAAAGCCAGATGATTAATACTCAGAATTCAGAAATAGTACATTGAAAAGGCAAAGAAGTAGAATTGAATCAATGGACGGCTGATTACTGAGCTTGAAGAATATCTCTTAATATTCATTTGCTCGAAGAACAATCAGAAAAAAAGAGCAACAATGAAAAAAAAATCCAAAGAAAGCATGAGATTTATGTGGGATACTATCAAAAGGAATAACTTAGGTGAATTGGAATCTAGAACAGGAAGAGATAAAAGCAACAAAAAAAACAGAGAAAAATAGTCCTAGCTCTAGCCTTCACTCCCTACTCCTGTCTACCCACTTCCCCACCCCACCTACCCCCTAAAAAAAAGACTAAAGCTCTGTGTCTGAAGCCATATCCAGAGCCACCCTACAGAATAGAATCAAGTCAAAATTAGATATAGGGAGGAAGTTGAGTCACATGATACTTTTGAAGGTTCCTTCCAATCCTGGCAGTCTGTGGTTTTCATTGGAACTTGATGGTAAAAGCAGCCTTCTTCAGGATCTGATTCTTCCCAAGACTAGCCCCTGTGAGTTAGTTATAAGGTAAAGAGTGAGGAAGGAAAAGGATCTTATTCTTGATTCTGTCTTGTGCCATGGAAAAGTGGAAGCTGAAATATACTTGTCCATGTGAGTGACTTAATACTGATTACTTTTGTCATTGTTTTTACCATAATTTTATTTATTATCTTTTCTGTAGCATATGTGTTGCCATTGAGTCGATTCCAAATCATAGTGACCATTTAGGACAGATGAGAACTGCCCCATAGATTTTCCAAGGCTGTTCTCTTTATGGAAGCAGATTATCACATCTTTTTCTGTAGGCTGGTGGGTATGAACTACTGACCTTTAGATTAGCAGTCGAGCATTTAAGCAGAGCACCAACAGGATCCCCTAAAATATGATCTCCCACTGTAGAAACTTAGGGGTGGATAGAGTTGACTAGTTTTTGCGCTCAGCTTTCCTCGTCCCAGAGAGTTGAATTCACCTTTCCGTGTCCTCTTGACTTTTAGGGGAAACTGACTCTACTCTGTGATGCCAAGACAGATGGCAGTTTCCTGGTGCACCACTTTCTTTCCTTCTACCTCAAAGGTATATGGGACTCATTGATCTTGTAGAAAGAGAAACCTGTGGGGTTGGGAGGGCACATGAAAAAGCCTTTGGAAGCAAAAGAAAGAGTTTCCTAGCCATGGCTTTGGTATTAGGATTGCCAAAGGCTATAGATTACTGAATCGTTTTAGTCTTTCCCAACCATGTTAAAGAGTTATTGTTGTTAAGTGCCATTGAGTTGGTTCTGACCCATAGTGAACTTTCTGAGGAGCGGCTGGTGAGCTTGAACCACCAACCTTGCACTTCAAATGATTTTGCAGTCTGGCGCATTAACCCCCAGTGCCACACCAGGGCTTCAGGTTAAAGAGTGCTATATGCTTATTTTGTCCACATCCTACCTCCTTGTTCTCTACCCACTGTGCTGACACTGCCTCATGAGGTCTTACTGGAAGATTCTGGTATGATTGCCCCTCAGTCCTTCTGTGTCTTGAGATCTCTGGGAGCTCTACTCCTTTGATTATTCGGCATTGACAGTGCATGTTTGTTAAAGAGCACAGGGAAGAAAACAGTATGGCCAGCACACTTTACAACTGGAAATAGAGAAGAAGAAAATGGCCAGATAATATACAAGTGGAGCCTTGGTGGTGCAGGTATCAGGTGTTTATCTGTTAGCTAAAAGGTTGGCAGTTTGAGTCCACCCAGCTGCTTGAAGACTTGGCAGTCTGATCCTGTAAGGATTGCAGACTTGGGCACGCATCCTGTGGAGCAGTTCTACTCTGTCACATGGGGTCACTAGGAATCTGAATTGATTATTGTTGTTAAGAGCCGTTGAGTCAATTCCGACCCATGACAACCCTTTGTATAGGGTTTCCAAGGAGCAGCTGGTGAGCTTGAACCACTGACCTTGCAGTTCAAACAGCTGTGCAGTCTGGCTCATTAACCCACAGTGCCACACCAGGACTCCGAATTGATTATTAGGCACCTAGATATCATGTTTGGTAAAGTGGAGGGTCAGAGAAAAAGAGGAAGACCCCCAGCGAGATGGATTAGCCAAGTGGCAGCATCGATGGACTCAAGTGTGGCAACTGTAGTGAGGTTGGCCCAGGATTAGGCAGTGTTTCGTTCTGCTGTGAATAAGGTCACTATGAGTTGGTACCAACTCGATGGCACCTAAGAGCAACAACAGTCTTTAAACCTTCAACCAGAAATATCCCTGCAGTTTTCTTTAAACCAAACAGTGGTGGTAGTGGTGGTGTACCACTGAGTCTGTTGACTCATAGCTATTATTGGAGGAACAGCGTCCGCTGATCCTCTTTGAGTACATATTGTGCCAGAACAGAATACAAGGTAGACCTTTGACACTTTTTGTCATAATCATTTAAAGCTTTGAGAATAATTTTATTAGAGGACGTAATTGTCAACATAGAAAGATGACAAGAATCTGCAGATAAATGATTAGACTTAAGGTTAGTAAGGCAGCTGGTCCTTCTTTGTGTTTCCCTTGTACCTTCTTAGTTATAAAATAACTGAGGACCCATTGCCATTAAGTCAGTTCAGACTCATGGTGACACTGTAGGACAGAGTGGAACAGATGTGTTATTTGTGGGTAAGAACTAGAGTTTCCGAGACAGTAAATCTTTATGGAAGCAGACAGCCTCATCTTTTCTCACACCATAGCCCTTGGGTTTGGACCTCCAATCTTGTGGTTAGCAGCCCAACACTTAACCCACTGTGTCACTAGGGCTCCTTTCTCAGATATGCTATTGTGAGGTGCCATCGAATCAATTCCAAGTCATGGTGACCCTATGCACTACAGAAGGAAACACTCCCCAGTTCTGCATCCTCCTCCCAGTCTTTACCTTTGAGCCCATCCCCGTTTCCACTGTGCCAAGCCAGCTCATCAGGGATCTTCCTATTGTACACTGACCCTTCACTTTATGAACCATGATGGCCTTCTCCAGGGACTGGTCCCTTCTGATAACATGTCCAAAGTATGAGAGACATACTCACCATCCTGACGTCTAAGGAGCATTCTGGCTGTACTTCTTCTAATACAGATCGGTTTGTTTCTTTGGCAGTCCATGGTGCTTTCAATATTCTCCTCCAACACCATAACTCAAAAGCAGCAATTTTTCTACGGTCCTCCTTATTCACTGTCCAGCTTTCACATACATATTTTTGTTGTTGTTGTTAAGTGCTGTCGAGTCAGTTCTGACCCATAGCGACCCTATATCGCGCTTCCGAGGAGCAACTGGTGAATTTGAACTGCCAACCTTGCAGTTCAAATGGCTTTGCAGTCTGACGCATTAGTCCACAGCGCCACACCAGGACTCACATACATATAGGTTATCCAGAGCTTGGATTTGGTGCACGTTATAGTCCTCAAATTGATACCTTAGTTCTTGAACACTTTAAAGAGCTCTTGTGCAGTAGATTGCCTAATGTAATATGTCATTTGATGTCTTGATATAGGATCAGTTTTTTAAAAATCATTGGTATTTCTGATGGTGCTATACAATAGCCACTGGACTGCTAACCACAAGGTTGGCAATTCAGATCTACCAGGCACTCGTGTAGAAAGATGAGACTTTCTGCTTCTGTAAACATTTACAGCCTCAGAAACCCTATACAGGGATAAAGACATCATTTGTTTACAATAGAAGGCAATATGTAAGGTATCTAGTAGTATACCTAAGACCTGGCAGTCTGTTTCTGAATATCAGCCATTGAAAACCCTATAGATTACAATGGTCCCATCTACAACCAAGGCAGCATGTCCTTATGCTGTGCATGGGGTTGCCATGAGTCAGAGGTCAGCTTGATGACAGCTAATAGCATCAGTAGTACGTCTTCCAGAAGTACATCTCACAATCAGTGAAGTAAGTAAGGTGTAAGTTAAATATGAAGAAAAGTGCAGCTTACACTCAAATTGGGTCCCTCAGATTGTAAGTCCTCTGGGTCTCTAGACTCACTGGTCTAGAGTGCTTTCGTTTTCAGAGGTATGACTTGTGTGAGCTTTGTTGTAAGCAGAGACTTTATTTAAAGTCCATTTATTTGGTTTTCTAGCTAATTGTAAAGTCTGCTTTGTCGCTCTCGTTCAGTCCTTCAGTCACTACAATATCGTGGGACAGAAGCTGGTAAGTATGTTCGACCTCTGTGGTGGGCTCCCTGAGTGGTGTGTGCGCCCTGCATGTGTGAGAATGTCTAAGGCTAGGCTTTCCTGTTTGGATTGTGGAGAACGTTAACAAACATGGGACTAAAGTACAGGACTATCTGAAGGACCAAAGCAGTTTCTCTCTTTATTTTATTAGCTTAAGGTTTATAGAGCCAGATGTGTTATTTGTGGGTAAGAATTCATCAAAGCCTTCTCTGTTGCTTCTAATAAACCAGTTAAGGAGAAAACCCAGGAGTTGAGGGAATTAAAAGCGGAGTGTACTATAATCTTGGTTCTTCTGAGTTGTAGATCATGGCCTGATCTGCTACCAAATTGGGTGCCTCTCATCCACTCAGGTTTAGGGCTTGGAACTAAATGTGGGGAGAGGTGCTTTTGTCACCTAGTAGCAGAGCAATCTTGGTCTGCTTCTTACCTCATCAAATGCAGGCAGACAACAGAAAGATGGCCAAGAGACTGGTAAGCCATTACCTGTGACTTTTGACTCAGTGGATTTACTGTTTGTGAATGGGAGCCAAAGGTATATGGTTTTTTGTTTTTTTTTGTTTTTTAATGGACAGACTAGCTTAAATGAGGAAGAGAACCAGGCTACTTTGCAGCAGTGATTTTAAAGTCTTAATATTATCACACCAAGTCGCTGCCTTTTCTCTGATGTTGAGAAACAGATGAGGGATAGATGCTTTCTTTCCCATCCTTAGCAGAGGAGTACCTGTGTTAGGGATCAGGGCGTGAGTTCAGGGAGCATGCTTGTGTCGACAGTAGATGTTATAGTCCAGGTCTCTGAAGCTTGTCTCTGTGACCTTAGCATTTGTGTATTTATGGGACAGAAAGCTGTGTACTTTCTGTGAGCCACTTTTTTTTTTTTTTTCTTTTAAAGTTACCTATAAATCATCATGTGCTCAGCAGGAATGACATGTGCAGAACTTGGCATGTGAAATATTAAAGCGTGTACTTCTGTACTCTTGAGACATTACTGTACTTGCAGAAGTAGAATGGTAATCGGCAGGAGCCGAGTGAGGACCAGGAGCTGTTGTGTCTGCCAGGGACACTCTGGAAAGTATTAGGTCATAGAGAACAGTGGGTGTTTGGTATATGAATGAGTAGTTGAGATCTGGTTCTGGGATGTGGGGAGTTTGAAGGGTTTCTTGTGACATGTTTCTGCACAGAGCAGTGGATTGTAAATTTAGAGTATATCACAATCCCTGATGGTTTGCTAAAATGCAGACTTCTGGACCATTACCCCCAGAGCTTCTGGTTCTCTAGCTCTGGAGTGGGATGCAGGGGTTTGCGTTTTAATTATAGATTCCGGATACTTGGGAGGATCATATTTGAGAAGTCCTGGTGGAACAGAAGTTGGTAAACTAGAACCTGCTTCTTTTTTTTTGGTCAATAAAGTTTTATTGACATGTAATCACACCCATTTGTTTTCAAATTGTCCATGGCGACTTTCTCACTGCCATGGCAGAGTTGATTAATTGTAATGGAGAATGCAAACCCTGAAATATTTCCTATCTGGCCTTTTATGGAAAACATTTGCCCACCCTCCACTCTGAGCTCTTTTGTACCAACTCTGGAAGTACTCCTCCCATTCAGAAAAAGAGACGAAAAGGAGACTCTAACCTAGGATGCTTTCTCACTGAATGGCAGACAATCTGACAAGTGAATTCTGAGTTACTTTATTTAAAATCTTGGAACAACCCTGAAGTCCTATGTCACTTACAAGAAAATAAGTCCAGAGGGTTTGTGAAATTCAAAACCAAAAGCTTAGCTCTTTCTCCTGACCCAGCATTTTCCAGAATATGGTCTTTCTCCCATAATCTTTTTGTTTATTTACTTAATAAATATGCTTAATTTAGTAAATACACACATTTTTGTAAGTATATGCACTTAAAAAAGAAAACTTTATATCACTATTATAAATGTAAAAGTGTTCCTGGGTAATCATAAAAATAAATATATAAGCAGTGTAAATTTTTCGCTTTTTTTTTTAATGCGACAGTAAGTGTAAATGCACATCTGAAGGTGAACCAAGGAATGTGGGCAGGGAGGGAAGCCGCAGACCCCATACTTTGAGTGCAGGGTTTGGATGTGTCTTGTGCCCTCTTGTGAGCTGGAGTCACTCCTCTCTGATGGGTTCCCCTACAGTAGGGCTCAATAACTCATTCTCCTCTTTGTTGTTTGATAGGGTGTCAGCCTGACCACTGCACGGGAGCGTGGGCAGCTTGTGTTTTTCGAGGGTCTCAAGTCCTCGGTGGACGTCTTCTTCCAGGCCCAAGAGGAGCCACACCCCCTGCAGTTTCTCAGGTCAGCCAGCCTGTAGCCCAGCTCAGGGTTGCTATGTGATTTCTTCTCCTGCTGGCGTGGGAGCTCAACCACAGAAACGTCAATGTGGCTTCTCTGTCATTCAGAGAACCCTTGGTTCGGATCATGAAGCAGAGGGTGCGACATTGTCTGAAAAGCTATGTTTTTGTTTTATGCCATTAAATTGATTCTGCCTTTGAGTGACTCCCATGTGACAGAGTAGAACTGTCACCTAGGGTTGTAATCTTTATGGGAGCATATAGCCAGTCTTTTCTAATGTGGAAGTGCTATGTGGGTTTGAACTGCCAACCTTTCCGTTAGCAGCTGAGCATTTAACCATTAAATCACCAGGGCTCCTTTGCAAAGCTATAGAAAGTGTAATTTGCTGGGATAAGGACAGAACAGTGTGTTTTGTTGTTTTCTTTCAACTCTGGTTGCTGAGCCCTTGCTCACACATTTTCTCTTTTCCTGGTTTGATGCAGATGTGAGCAAACTATGGCTCATGAGCCAGTTGCCTATTTTTAAAATAAAGATTTATTGAAACACAGCCAGATTTTGTTTGCATGCTGTCTCTGACTGCTCTTGTGCTACAACAGCAGAGTTGAGTAGTTGAGACAGCGACCGTATGGCATTAGGGCAGTTGTCCTGGACCCTATATCTTTTTTTTTTTTT